TCACCAGGTGGTCGGGTCCGGGTTCCGGGTCGGACCTGCCGAGAGGGGACGAGAAGTGGTGGAGAGACTTGAAGATGGAGGATGCCCGCTCGAGCGCCCGCGCGGTCGGGGTGGTCGGGAGAGATGATGCCGGCGACGATGATGACGACGACCCGTCGTCGGTGGTGAAGATATGGTGGTCCTCTGTTTCCGGCGGGTCGGGTCCGCCGGATTTACGCAGTGGGGAGAAGTGGTTCATGGACTTGAAAAGGGAGGAGGCCCGCTCCAGCCCCCGCGCCATGGGACTGGCAGGGAGAGACGACGACCCGTCGTCGTCGGCGAAGAGATGGTGATGGTGGTGGTGGTCCTCTGTTCCCGGCGGGTCGGGTCCGCTGGATCTACGCAGCGGGGAGAAGTGGTTGATTGATTTGAGAAGAGAGGACGCCCTCTCCAGCCCTCGCGCCATGGGACTGGCCGGGAGAGATGAAGATCTGTCTTCGTCGGTGAAGAGATGGTGGTGGCCGTGGTCCTCTGTTTCCGGCGGGTCGGGTCCGCCGGATCTACGGAGCGGGGAGAAGTGGGTATTCATGGATTTGAAAAGGGAAGAGGCACGCTCCAGCGCGCGTGCGGTGGGAGTCGATGGGTGGGACGACGGGCCGTCGGAGTAGTGGTCGGAGTGGAGAAACGGGGAGGAGGCATGAGGAGGGTGCTTGTTGTTGTTGTTCTTGCGGGAGGTGATGGCGATGGCGGCGATGGTGAGGTTGAGGAAGAGGAAGAGAGAGGTCGGAGTGAACAAGTCGGCTACGGAAGTCCACATCGGAGCGATTGCCGGCGAGCTGAGGAGTGGATTGGATTGCGTAATCAGGAGGGAGAGAGGGAGAAGGTAATGGAGGAAGGGGACGGAAGGGAATTTGTATATATAGTGGTGTGTGGGGAAATGAGTTGTACATAATAGTGTGGTTTTTTGTTTTGTAGTGGAAACGTGTGGGTTTGAGTGTGAATAGTGAAGAGAAGGGAGGAGAAGGTTTAATTTGATTAATCAACGTTTACGCCTTAAGGACGATGGACTGATATAATTAATGAAATGCTAAATACATTATTGTGGTGCTATGTTGGAGCCACGTGGAGATATTTGTTGGTTTATGCCTTTATGGTCAACGACAACATGCAATTTAAGTGTTGAATTTTGATGGCCCGACGTTTATCATTGAGCAACCGTATGATCTTTGGTCAATTTGTTATTATTATATTTGATTAAACCCAAAACGACATCCACGCGTCATCATTTTTTATGTTGCAGGAAGCAGAAAGCGAACTTCCGTTTGCCTTTGTTTGGCAAATTACATTCTGACTGCGGCTTATAATCTCCAGTTGTCCACTACCAAATTCCCAGTGCGTGAAGTAATGATATAGTATTTAGGGTGTGTCACGATGTCTTCCAAGTTTCAAGTATCTTGGACAAACGGTCAATCGATTTCGGAAAATGGTTGATCGGATTCGGATCATATACTCGTTTTGTTAAAACGAGAGAGGTGATCGACCACTATAAAGTTGTGACCAATGGGAAGCCAATCATAAACATTGTATTTTGATGTTCATAAAGAAATTGGTAGACCGTCCTATGGAAAGATCACCCAATTAAGACTAAGGATATCTTCATACCCCAACCATTAACCAACTCTGCAAATTAAAAGTGCTCTAAAGAAGATGAACCTATGGATTGCACACCTTAAAGGTCAACTGAACAACCTGCATGGTCAACTTGTTAATCTACTTGTATGAGCAAGAGCAACTACTTTTGATATTCGCCGACGTCTTTTGTTCTTCAACAATATGGATGGTAATTTGAACCTGGCCCGTCGTATATTACACGACCTGACCCGTAGTAGCGTGGAGCGGGCATGTGTATCTACTTTCCCCCGCTCGCCCTGTTTTTAGCCTTTTTATCTCAATTTCTTACAATATCTATTCATATTTCTCCTGTTTTGGTTTTCCTTCAACTAATAACACTCGATCTTTCAACTAGTTAGATTCAATTATCCATTAGGTTATCACTTTTTTCCCCATTCAGTATTGAAACTTCCTGTTGATAGACTCTTGTTCCAACTTCCAACATTGTTGATGGTCAGCTGGTCGACCGTAGTAATATTGGAGCGGTCAATCTTAAATTTTTCTTTGTAATGGTGTAGTCTGTTGTAATAAGTAAAGTGTGTCATCCGAGCGGTCATTAGGGCGTAAGCAGTCGAACATTCTACGCAAAAAGGTTGTCTATTTTCTCCAAATCACGGTGATTGTAGCAAAATTGTTGTTGTTATTATTAAATATAATCATTGCAAGTTGGAATTCAGAGTGTGGTCAATGTTGTTATCATCCTATGACAACTAGATAACTACACGGGAGAAGCCATGAGACTAAATTAGGCGATGGGGAGGATTTAATTAACAGCTAATCTAATCTCCGCGTAAACCGTGAATTAGTAGACAGAGCACAGAAGCTTTGCCTGACGTGGCTGGCCAACTGGTTTTCCACTGGGGGATCAAGGACGACGAACCCGGAATTGTTGTAAAACTACAAGCATATAGCAATCGGATTGAGGTCCAAATTAAAGAATAATTGTACTTAGGTACGTAATTAAGGATTCATTCCACTGTCCAAAGCACAGCCTCGTAAGCAGCACGTCGGCAATTAGTCTAGTCCGGCCTGGTGATTCCAAACAGCACGCCACGACAACCAGAAAATGGAAGCCCTAAGGAATGTTTATGTTTCCACTTTTGGCAGTAATAAAGAATGTTTTAAGAATTAAGGGCCAGTTTTCACCACAAATTTGATCAATTTGATTTGTATGGTTCTTTTTTTTTTATTCTCACCACAAAATTGATTTTGCAGAATATTATTACTGTTAGTGACTTTGTGCGGATGAATTTTTATGGACGGTATTCCCTGAATATTTTGACTACGTTATAACGGATTGAGAAATTGCAATACAAAAAAGTAAAGAACACATAGATTTATGTGTTTTATTAATACGATGTATGTTAGATATGTCCACCGATAGGAGATAGCATTTTCACCATACTTTGACAAGATAAATATTACATAAGCACAACCACCACCCCCCCCCCCCCGCCCCCGAACTGGGTGCTTCGCACCAGACCCCAACTCACCGACTTCTAGTCAACGGTAGCTAATTATTCTTCAAGTCATAGCAACAAGGAATATGCCTCAACTCGTAATGAGTGAATTCTAGGTCCTGATTATTTAAATCATAAATCGTAAACTTTACGATGGTGCATATATGTATTTCGACGAATCATAATCGTTGATTACTGTTTATGATTAAATTAATCTTAATGTATAAGATTCAGAAAATTAAGACCTAGATTTCAATAATTAAAGATTAGGTTATAGTATCATATTCTATTGTGGTATATCCCATATTTTCACACTGATTTGGTAGAACTCTCCGTGTATGTATAATTATATACAGAGAGAGAGAGAGATGAAAGGCCAAAGAGAAAAGTAAACCAATTTATTTGTCTTAATCAACTGTGTGCACTTTGTAATTAATGACAACACAAATATAGTTGGTACAAGATCACAATCATGGGGATGGCCGGGTCAGCATCAAAATATGGCAATGGCACCTTATAGCCAGGGAACTGTCACGATCCTCGATCTATCTTCTCCAAATTAAAGACGTACAAATCCAACCAACTTTGAAAAATTGATTCATTTTCGTATTCTATAATGCTTGAAGATGAGCACCAAGTTTCATATTGTGATTGTGAATACAACTGCAAAACGTAAACATTTGTTTATATATTGACTTGACTTTTGGAGGGTTGTTTTTACCAAATATATGTTTTTGTTTGGGATGTAAAATTTTACCGACCTAATTCGAGTTTAGTAACAAAATACACCAATTATAAAGTTACTGCCAAGTCATACGGTACATTTATAATAGGACTCAACGGTTGCAAATGGAAAGAACGGTAGACTACCGACTTACCTCACCTCCAACGTTTAGCAGAAAAATAGTGATTGTCGTGATCAATCAAGGGAACTTCGAAAAATTATGCATTATAAAATTTCTAAGCCGGTACGTAATTGTGCTATTTTAAATAGAAATGTGGATTAATGTAAATTATCTTGACTTTTGGATCTAATTCGATGGAGTTCATCGTCAGCTAAACGTAGAAGAACAATAAAGTTGGTTCCGAATCAAATATTTTAACGTAGTCAATACTTGATTGTAAATATAATCAGCAGCATGCATGTCGCCGGCTAGCTTACCGATCACGCGCTTTTATGAAGATATATATGCATGCATGAGCCAACCAATTATCAGGTCAATTTATTAAGGGGTGACGTTTTCTACACTCTTGCAAACTAAAATGTAGGAATGATAACGTTACTTGGATAATTTGGTCAAATTGTTATGAAATATATGAATATTGGGTTGGATTCAAATAGATTTATATATATGTGTTTTAAATGATTTTGAACTCGAATTTAAATTGGGTTCGATTTGGGTAAACTCATTTGACTTGGACTTAAATGGATCTATTTGGGTTCGGATAATTGTACACATAAAAAACAATATCGATCATCTCATTAATTGCCTTCAACTTGGTTATGCCTTTTGAATTGTGTATCCATTCTTTTCTCGATATCTAATACTAGGGGACCAGATTTAATTTAGGGTTTATGATTTGAATATTCTTAGTGGGAAGCAAAGGCTGTAGGATAAAGTTGTTTTCGGAATCGGATCCTTCCCTTGACCTGGGCATTAGCTCTAATTCCTAGAGTTTGGGGTTTAATCATATTAATTAAGTCCATCTCTAAATTCCCTCCCTTCAACGCACATTCCATTCCAATTTTCTTGTTGATTTCTCTTGTTATCTATCGTTCAAAATGCAATGCAAGTAATTCCTTTGTAAAAAAAAAAAAAAACGCATTTTAGTCCTAGTTTTTGCCTCCAGCTTCACTTTTCATTTCAACACTCCCAACTAGCTTTTTCCATCCAGCTCATCATCTCTTATTTCACATTTAACACGTGATCGAACAGTACACCCAGCAAAAATTAAACAAACAAATAGTAATGTGTATCGTTTAACCCTCTGAAAGAATCGAATCCAATGATGAACCTTTGTAGGAAGGCTAAGAATAATGAATGTTGGTAGTACGTATGCAGCATCGTTCAAAGTCGAAGCAGTCGGATCAATGTCCACTACTCGCGATGATTCGTTCGCAATGGGATGGCTGATCAGATCGACGAACGAGAGCAATTTTTTTTTTACAGCAGAGGCGAGATGAGACGAGCAGAGTCTGCAGGTTCACATATCAAAGCTGCGGCATCTGGGTGGAGCGTGGCGGCCAGCTCGGGCTGTGCCTTGGCGTACTCGGCTCTCACAAGAGCAGCAGCTTCGTCGGCCACATCAGCGCTGACGAGGGCAATGCAGCATCCTCTGAAGCCGGCCCCGCTGAACCTGGCTCCGTACACTCCTGGTGTCTTCACCAGAATCTCGTACAGTTGTATCAGTGGCTCGCAACCTTCACCAAAAGAAGCAGTGAATCAGTGATCATCCCCCCCAGAAAGCAACAGTAAGTAAGTAAGTAAGTAACAACTCGTAAATCCAACCAACCATATGTTCCAGCACGATCGAATAAGAGCTAATAATGAACAGACTGGTTTCTACCTAACTATCTTCTGTTTGATTCAATGCAACAGATGGGAAAAGTGTCGATTGGAAAGTTGGCTGTCAACTGTAGCAAATAGTAGAAGTGGAAGTGTTTGTGAAAGAAGTTATTACAACAAGTAAATGATTAGGTGGTCGGTCGATTGTTTAACTTTTCTATGATCGACGAAACGATGAAATTACGTGACTAGTGTGGTTCCAAAATTAAATTTTTAAATGTACCAATAGAAATTGGGATACATTCGATCGAAAAGTTTGTTATTTTGATCAACCGGCGGCCCGACCAAGAACCAATTGATGCTTGATACAAATGGAATGTTTGATTCAGAGTGAAATTGATACAAATTGCTTGTTTCAGAGGCATCCAAAAGGAATTCCTAGCACGAAAACGATAAGAAAGCTAAGTTTTTAGGTCTGAGAGAAAAAGGCTCATAGATTAGATAGATGCATGTGATGTGATGTGAAACCTTTTTCTGGATTATAGTATGGAGTATAGAATGAAAACGGTAGCTTATCTGTTCTTCTAATTTTTCCTAATTTCCTTCCTGTTTTGGTGAGGCTACAAGAAACTATACAGTAACTAGGAGACCATGCCTTTTCTTGATATAACTCAACAGGCCACAATCAGTCATTAATGCATTTGAGAAAATGAAGCTTAGCTTAGGTTTTCAATCACCAATCCCAACTACCAAAAACAAACCTAACCATCTTCCTAATCAACCAGCAGCAGCATGTGACTCAACAATACCTCTCTCGGCTCTGCATGAAGTTTTAACTGATACAGGACTTAGGACTATGTAGAATTTTGGTAATGATATCTTGATTAGTTCTTTCATTTTTGTAACGGAATCAAATCAATCGCAAGTACTATAATACGCACTTATCTTAGAGGGGGATAGAGCAAGTTGACAGTTAAAGAGGCCTACCGCATTCATAGTTCTTAATGGAGCTTAAACCGGAGGCCGAAATAAGCCTGCCGAATTCTTCCAAGTTTCCAGAAGTCCAAGCTTCAAGCCCTGTGTCACATCACATCGGCTAGATATTAGAAGATGTTCTGAAAAGAGCAAAATGACACCTGCAGTTTTAACACTTTGCAAGGCAGATTGACAAAAGCAAATACCTTTCTTTACCCGCATATTCTCCGAGAAGAAATGTTCTGCTCGTTTGGCTAGATCGGCGTCCAATTTATCCTACAGATGATAGGAATAGAGGTCAATGAATTGAGTGCAGTGCTAGGCCATCTTTTTCTTTGGTAGAGAAACTTCCATGACATGCCTAAATGAGCTAGGTAATGTTTCATGTTCCCAAGAAAGTCACGAGCTTTTAAATTAGGGATGAAGCAAATTAATTACCTTGTGCATTTCATATGCCTTGAATTCAACTGTTTGAAAACAAGGGGGGTGTCAGTGAAGCCTGCGAAATTCCATCACTACAAACTAAAGGAAATAGAACTCAGAGCTGGAAAGAATGTCTACTTGCCGTTGCCCAGGAGTGGCTCCACTTTGTCCATTCCAGAAGCTCTACAGATTGAGACAAGAGGGAAAGAGGAAAAATGATCAGTGAAGGATTATAGCATGCTTTCTTCGATTTAAATCAATTTACAGCCCAGAGACAAGAACGCTGCTACAAAACCCTTATCACATTCTACAGCACCATCACAGTGTTTTTATTCAAAACAACATTTACTCTTGAGGTCTGACCATTTATGTCAGGCTTCGGAAACATAGACCAGCCTAGTCTCGGCAATTTGTGCAATGAATTTTTTATTCAACATTTAGTGAACTCTGGCTCGGAGGCAATTAACCAGAGCTTAACAAAATCAGGTTAAGAAGAACGGATTTTATAGACTTCATCATAAGATCCACACATCAGAATCTTAGTAGAGTGAAAGGGGGGTCATACTTAAGCAGAACCCTAGCCGCCTCTTGACACTCTGCAACCCGGCGATTGTAACCAGGGTTGCTGGTCAAAGCTTTCCTTAAGCCTGAGAATGCTAGCAATATTTTGTATGATTTCTGCAGATCACTTTGATGGTCTTTCTGCAGTTTGAACGGACGTACAAGCTCGTGCTCTTTGGTCTACAAATACCACACTTGACAGTAAGACACCATTCAGCTGACAATAAAAGATTAGGGGAAATGAAAAAGTAAAAAGTAGAAAAAGAAAGGTTGCGAGTCAAAAGAGCCTGTAATACAAATTCAACAAGAAGAATCGACGCTAAAGAATCTACAGTTGCAGAGAAGTATGCATCAGATAACTTCCAACCCAAGAAATGGGTGATGACATGACAGGAAATTGAGCGCAGCTTACTAATTTAAGGCAATCAAATTAATCCATAGTACACAGAAATATGATTTTGAACTGAAGACAAGCACATGGAGTAGGTACTCAATCTTTACCTTGCAGTTCATGTAAGTTAAGCAACCATGACTTGAAAGCAATATTGCTGATTGATCCAATATGCCATTTCTCAGACCCAAATATTCATTCTCAATCAACCTGCATAAGCAGAGAATTAAGATTTGGGAAAACAATTTTCTGGTACCGATAAATAAGAGACCAGCAGTTCTCAAAATATATGTAGTGAATTGTCCACAGTTCTACTCATGGATCCTAGAAATATGTCTCAGCAAAGCCCCTGCATCTTTACAAAGTTGAAAGCACATTTCCAACTTTCTACAAAAGGTTACCTCAATGATCAGCTACACACTTTATGAGTCTAACAGTCGCAAGTCTTGACATTTGAGGGTTCATGAGAGCTAAGCTGATAACTGGCTATCTAGAGAATCTGATGGCTACTTTAAGGAAATGATAGTTTATAAGACTTATTTCTGGTCCCTGTTTAATAGTTGACAAACAAACAGATAGTTGGGCCAGTTTCCAGGACTAATGTGCAAAAGAAGTTATTCACTTTAGCAGGATTCACGAGATTATGAAGGCTCTCAAGTTCGTCGGGAGCTTTTTGAACATTCAGCACTTTATTACTTTCAGCACGTACATATTTGCTTCAGTTTTCAAAGTATTAGCTGTTTCTTTCTATCAGTTGGACCAGCAGAGATGCAGCCAAGTTAGTCACGAGCATTTTGAATGTTCAACCTTTTATTACTTTCAGCAGGCACATATTTATTTCAGCTTCCTAAGTTAACTTCATATTACATGTTAAACACCATAAACTTCTTTGTGAGGAGGCTATAAATAACTTCGCCAAGCTGAAAAGGGCAAGCCTGAACATGGACAGCACAATTCCTTGCTTGAAGAGGTTTTTCATTAAGTTCTTAATGACAAGGTAATAGCAAACATAAACTTTAAGCAAATTAGTGTCCACCAAACCCCACCTGTCAAGTTCAATATTTTCCACTTCTGACATGGTTAAGTTGTTCGCACTTTCAAAAGCCAGCAGATAAGCAACTCCAGCCTGTCAAATATGACAACAGAGGATCAATGTGGCATGAACATGGGGATTCCACTCCAATGAAAAAGGGCTCGGGCTCAACAGGGACCATAAACAGCAGGATTAAAGAGGGTATAGCCAAAAGGAGAAGATGAAAGTAACTTATATAATAGGCCATTGAAACTCTACAATGGTCATCTGGTGCAAGAAAAGGCTAGTCTAAGTCCCAAACTCCAAAGTATAGCCTTGTTCGCAAATTTTTTACTAAGTATTGGATTATTGGTATCAAGGCCCCACCTGCCTTCCCCCCCATACCTTATGTACGGAGGAGAGGAGAAGGGGGGGGGGGGGGGGGGGATCCATCCAAGAACAACAAATCTTGGCACTTCAGCAGGCCTTCTGATTCTAAATTCTACCAGGGCCTCCTGAAACGAATCCTATCAGCTAAGTAACTTTTTAAGAAGCAAATTGAAAAAAGACCAACCCAGTTATCACAAAGCTTAAAACCTACGTCATCATTCTGTTAAATTTCAGGATGAGAGCAAAAACTGCTATTGAGTTTATTCCCTATGCAAGTGGAACTCCCTGCCCAATTCAATATCGTAGCCAAGAGATATTGGTTAACCCAACTAGACATGAAACTGTAAATACAGAACTCTAAATCAGTACTAATGTCTCCAGTGCATTCTGCAGGTGGCCGACAACTATCCTCAAGCACCATGATCGAAGGAATTGGATTTAGCAGAATGATAGTAGGTGAAGAAAAGTGCACTTACAGCAGCTGAAGAGCTGAGCCCTGCACAGTCAAGGCCCTCAGAACCACATATGTATCCAGTGATTCCCTGCAAGAATGATAAATAGAAGCAACAACATTGCTCTAAGTTATACTTAATTTCAACTAGAACAGGAATAGGTGATCAAAGCTGGAATGGTACCGTGAAATTATTAACTCTACAACTACACCTTTGATTGGATGGGATAATTGAATATATTATTATATTTTACCCAATATTTTCTGAAGTTTTCTGCTTTCTGAAAGAAAAAAATGAAGGCAGGCCTCCTCCTGTAATGGTTAATTTTCAAGTTCCTGTTGGTTGTTTTCTTTTCTACTAGGAAAACCTTCCCCTTGATTGTTACTTAAGCATCCGGAGCTAAACTTGGTTTCCCCCATAAGCTTCACAGACGAACCTTCTACAATATCTTAAGCTCAATTAATATAGAAGTGACAACAGATATGGTGAAATGGTTGACTGAAGAGGCTAAGTGAAAAAAAACAGCCTACAAATGAGTTTCAAGTAACAAGTTCTTAGATTTTACATTTGGTAACATCTCGTGGTAAAGCTTATAGCAGTCCTCCGGCAAAATACACATAAAAGTCAAAAAGGATAAAAGTGAAAGACAGGTATTGATATATTTTCAAATCAGTAACTCATCCTACTCCAAAGGGGGAAAATTGAGCAGGAAAAAGAGACGAGCTGGCATGTACTGCAAGACCAACACAAGTGAAAAATTAAGTAGGAGATTTTCCTAAAGTAGTCCCAATAACTTACAGCAAGATTTTTCTCCTTACCCTATCAAGAGAGTGTCCCATCTTCTGCAAAGCAAAGACAGCTCCCCTTGCGAATTTTCCCCATCGACTATCTTCTTCCTTTCGGTTTGGGGAGTCAGTTGTGTGATTCACATCCTTCTTGCTGCCGTGCACAGGATGCTGAACATCGCTTATGCTGAAAAACCAATATAAAAACATTCAATTCTGTTGAAGGCCAACTAAAACTGAAATCTAGCAGAAAAATAGAGAAGGGTCCTTTCGCTTCCATTCCATTTGCCCATACGGGCATAGCACTTCAAGAAAACATCACTTTTCGTCAATGGCATGAGACTAATATTAAATAGGACTTTGGAAAGTGGGGAGATGATTCTCCAAGCTAATTATAAAACTAAATGTGTTCCTACCACTCATAGGTTCCTCATACACCTCATTGTCCTATTCCTTGCTTGGTTGGCACTCATAAGTTCGTACGAAAACCAACTGGAGAGGTTAATCTCATACTTGATACAAACTCGTACTTGGTTTGGCAGAGGAGATTGATACAATGTTTTGCCAACGGTTAGAACTAAGATGCTTAAGGGTTTGTTAAACTTCTTCTAACCATTTGGCAGATGCCAGATCTTAACAATCACATGAAAAAAACCCAGATTAATAAAGACATTTAAATCTCCATTCATGCACTTGAGCCAAATTGGGGAAAGAAACTTTCACACACCTGAAATGAACTTCTCCCTCAAATTGTCCTGAACGCAACACAACCTACAGCAACAAGTGCTCAAGCCATCAACTTGTACTCATAGCATAAACCAATAAGGGAAAAACTGCTCTGCTCAGTTTAGGAGGAAATTCCTAGTTCGACACTCTCACATTCACTGAATACATTCTGTACTGTAATAGTTAGAAGTATATGATAAATGCAAAGGAGTCCAAGCAAACCAAACAAAGTACGGTTACAACCTCCACATTTAAAAAAAGCATATTACGCAGCAATTGTACAACACAAGAAGTTCAGCATTCATATCACTCTATGCACATGTGATAAAATGCTGTAGATATTGGTTTTCGAACTATACGAAGTTTAAGCATGCCCTGTAGCTATTTCTTTCCAAGCCTCACGGGTTACGGTGTGTAACTTTGAAACGTGAATGGGGCATTGGTCTTTCTTTTTATTTCTTACCTTTGCATCATCTGCGGGAATAAAACCCAGCAATATGCCTCGATTAATCGTCATAGCTGAAACAGCTCCACCCTACAACAGTAAAGAAGATAAGAACAGATTGAGAGGGTCGAAGAAAGGAAGAGTACCCAAATGGAAATACTGAATGAACATCGGAAAGATACAAACTTGATGATCAATATGAGCACCCAGGGGACAGATACGATAAGGAGACGCCACAATCCTAACTTCACCAGGGTCTCTCCCAGCCATTGAAGAAACCAGATTTCTCATTTCATTCACCTATAAGAAATTCGAATGAATCACCATCGCCAAAAACATACTTGTGTCCAAAACAACGAATTGGAAGAATACCGAATGGGATTGAACCCAGCCATTACTGTGACCTATTACCTCAGCTTCACTGGGCCACGAAGCTTCAGCCATTGTTGCTTGGTGGCTGGCTTTTCTTCTTCTCTGGTTGGGTTCGCTAGTGAGATTATTCTTCAGCGTCTCCCCTCCGTGAAATTAAAATTCGGCTGAAGCAGAGAAGAGATGGAGGGAGAGAACGAAACGTAGAGTTCAAGGAAGATAGTAACCAGCGGCAGATGGAAGGTTAGGGTGCTAAACAGATCACTCACTCACTACCGCCATTGATGATTATCAAGTGACGGAGATAGGCTGACAGCAAGACATCGATGTCTGTGGATTGTGGGGCTGGTAGTTGGTGCTGAGCTGACTCCGGAGCTTCGATTCATTTTTGCTCATGATGATGCACATTCATAATCCTGCTATTGATTGATTTAAAAAAGGGCAAAAGGTCAATTAGGTTCCTAAACTTCTTCATTTTGTAAGTTGCTGAGCTTTCATTGTGAGCCAATCAAGATCCTTAAACTAATAAAAGTGCGGATCAATTTAAACATAGGAGTGGACATCGGTTGGATTTTGACCATAAAGTGCACACATTCGCGCTTAAACCGGATGGATAATTTTTAATTCACTATTCACCTACATTTAGTCTCGGGTTGGGTCGGGTGGATGGTGGATGATACGGATGGGTTTGCGGGTTCACCCACATCACAATATACATACTATAAAGGAGTCAACTTGACATGATAATTGGTGGAGAGAGTTATCGGACGAAAACAAGGAGACTGATTAGGAAAATATATGTCGAATTGGTTTTGAAATTGGATAGAAGTTGTATTATTGAGGAAGTGCAGGGAAGTAAGAAAAATAATTCAACGAAGGAAAGAGAGGTGATATAGGCACAAGAATTGGAGAAAAAAATAAAGGAAAGAAGAGGGATCGCGATTTGGAAGATTGACATTGAGGTTCAATCTCCATGAGAAGCCCTAGTTTCGTCCAAAGTCTTCACACTCCCCTCAGCGCCAACGACTTTGTTCTTTTTGCTGTTGGGTTGAGCGGGTCACCCGCGCACCCACCCACAACTCACCCGTCACCCGGCGGATGGCTCCCAGTACACCCGTTACCCACCCATAAACCCATCCACATAACAAAATTCGTGTCAAATGCGGGTGAATCGGGCCAAACCCGTGAATGATCCACCCGCATACCCAACCCTAATTAAACCTACTGAATTGGCGGGTCAAATTCCATATATCTAGTAATTTGCAAAATCTAATTATTATTAACATGCTATTCAACTCAACTTTATTTCATAACATTTACATCAATTGCAAGTGAATTGCAATTGCATATATGAGCATTTAAGTGATTTTATAAATAAAAATAAATAACTCAACAAAGCAAAAATAAGTTATCGTTTATTTTCCTATGTGGCTTGGATCTTCAATTTCATTTAAATAAAACTTGTATATTTACAAGTGCCCCTACATTAGTGTAATACTCTTTGCAATTGCATACTGTGTGACATGTAGAATTTGCAATCAGACAAAATATTAATGTGGATGCTATTAAACCTATTAGTTAAAAAGTTTTGAAACTTTTGCTAAGAGTGGAATGAACGCTAACTACATAAAAAGATAAATGAGATATCATGAGAAAATAAATAATATTATTAATATTTAAAGATATTAGTTTAAAAAGAAAAATCAACTCTCCTTTCATAATTTGGCAGCTATTTAATACGGAAATTCGAAACTAAAACTAGAAATCTGAATTGACTTTTAATGTTTAAAAAATTAAATTTAAAATAAAAAATATCCACGCTCCATAGCGACTTCCAATAACATTATTAATATTTTTAATGGTACTATTAATGTTTATGCAATGATTATAATTGATATACCCATCATTATTAATAATTTCAATATATTTATCAATATTTTAATATTATAAAAGTTTACATAAAAATATGGATAATGACACTCTTAATCATTAATAACTAAGTTGTATTGGCATTGAAAATAAAAGTAAAATCATTGACAATAACTGCATCTAAATGGGCAATACTCATAGTACATGTTACTAATACCTCTCTTCCCAAAATGTTGATGGCAAAATAAAAACTATTAATAGTTATGTTGTGTTTCGTTTAAAATGCAAACAAAACCATTGATAATGATCGAAAATGATCGTCAACCATACTACATTATTAATAATTTTTCTCAAACATTGATACGTTTATACCCGCCCATTAATAATGATACAAACTAAGACAAAACGTAAGTAATTAACAATACCTATATAAAAAAATTAACCACAGTAAAAATGTGTAAACAGATGAACCATTCAAATATAATTTTCACAGGTTCCCATAAAAAAACAATATGTAAAAAAAAAAAATTCGTCGACTTTCAGCCCACCAACATTAATAAAACTTATAAGAGGCGACAATGTGTGTATGAGAGAGAGAGAAAGCGACGACTTAATGTTCATGATGGACGAGGAGAGTGACCCGCAGGGATTTTGATTTTAAGTTATCAATTTAAAAATAATACAAATACCCTAATTATCTTTAACCACCTATTAAACACTAACTTTCCATTAACAACCTAAATTCCTATGAGCCAATTAAAATTATTTAAACAACTCTAAAACTTACAGGTTTAAGCACTTGAACCAATGCCCATTGTTGGTTAACAAACCTTATCACTAGAATAATTAGTCTTATGCAATGTTGTCAAAACCGTACAGATACCAAACTATATTAGTGAGAGATTAAAGGTTTACCGACAAACCAGCGGTTAGGAGATATTACAAATCGATCATAAAATCGATGACATATTATTTGTAAAACAAGTCATGGCTTCATGGTAAATAAAAAAAATCAGTACTACCTTTCAATTTGAGAATTCTATATCTAAACTTTTTAATAGCTTACGAACGAGGTCATTGAGCCTAACTTAACGAGTCCGACATATTTTAAGCTAACTTCATATTGGGCTTTAACAACACAACAATTCTTTTGACAGTTACCTAAGCAACCATCATGCAATCTTTCTTCTTTGCAAATCAACACACCATTTCCTCTCATTTCCAGGGAAACTAGTCTTGGATTGGAGCACAAGGAAGAGAAAATCCTTTAGAGTAGCAAGGGGAATGCGATAACTCCATGAACAATGTAGTCCAAAGATAATTCACATGGTGTTATGATTAGCTTGTTCATTTCGTTCAAATGTTGGCAGGTAAAGAAGATTCATCATGAAAAGCCGCTGGAAATGATGGTGGTCTAGAATGTGAAAGGGAACTATGTTAGAATCAAGCTAGAAGAGCTAGTTAAAGTTGGGAAAAAATCACAAAGTACACTAGTTCTTAAAAAAAATCCCCAAAATATATAAGTTATAAATTTTTTTCCAAAAGTACACATGTTTGAGCATCACCGTTTTTGACAAACGCAGTGAAAGGTATCACCGCGTTTGAGAAAAATGGTGAACATTTCACCGTTTTAAAAAACAACGATGACGTATTCACCGTTTTAGTCTAAAACGGTGAAGGTATCACCGTTTTAAACAGAGACGGTGAACACATCACCGTTTTAAACAAAAACGGTGAGGCCTTCACCGTTTTAATGGTCCACGGTGAAGGCGCTGACGTGGACTAACGCGGGGTATTCACCGCGTTAGACAAACACGGTGAATACCCCGTGTTTGTTTGCGTCAGCGATCCGCGTCGCTGGCGCGTTCACCGTGGCCGTTGGATGCGGTGAGGCGCGGATCGTGGTTTTCTTTCCAGATCCGACGCTGAGCCACGTCGCTCGATCCGCGCCTCTTCACCGTTCTCGAGAAACGCGGTGCCTTCACCGTTTCTGACGGACGCGGTGAACACTGGGAGAATTTAATTCTCGGCAGATCCCTTCCCCCCTTCCCCCAACTATAAATAACCCTTCCCCTTTCACTTTCAACTCACACCACAAACATTTTACTTCTTTCTCCCTCAATTTATCCGCTCTAGTCTCGTTCTAAGTATGCTATGTGGTTGCGGCTAAGTCCGATCTTCCACATCACAAAGAATTACTAGAGTTTGACCCTAAAGCCCCCGTCCCGCTAAGTTCCCGTCCCTTACAAAGCTAAACCCGTTGAACCTCTGTCCGGCTTCCGCCAAAAATGGACGAAGAGGCTCTTCGTGTAGGTTTTTGGTTTATGATTTTTTTTAATCGAAACAATTTGATTTTTTTTTTTTTTTTATCAAAACAATCTCTGATTTCATTGCTTTTTTATAGATGGGTGCCGAGATATACGATCCTCGATTGTATATCCATTATGGCCCAAGGGATGCGAGTCTCTTAACCGATCAAGAAGCTCATCGCTCCCGTGCCATTTGGGATAACAATCCGGTAATTTGATGAGTATTCTTGCTTTACTTTATTATTTTCTAATATTTTATTTTGCTTTATTTAATCTAATAAATTGATGTTTTCCCTATTTTTTTTTAGGAATCTCTTGTTCCCGTGGTTCATAAAGGGACCAATAACTTGCCCGCTTGGCATCCAAGGTTGGAGCCCTATATAGCGAGGACCAGTTTGGAAATGTAGCGCCATTTCTTGCGGCAATGGCGGAACGATGGCGTCCCGAAACCCATACATTCCACCTTCCGGAGGGGGAAATGACGATCACCCTCAAAGACGTGGCGATCCTCACCGGGCTTCCTATTTCTGGAGATGCCATCATTGGTTCCACGACCAAACCCGAAGGAGGTTGGGGGCCGCTCATACGTGATCGTTTGGGCTTCGACATGCCGACCACCACACCAATTCAAGGACGAGGGGCATCCACCGTTGAATGCGGGGCAAGTGTCGGTCCCGTGGCTGGTATCTCACATCCAGCAAGAGGTGGAAATCAATGACGAGACACCGGAAGAACAAGTCGAGCGCTACGCCCGCATCTACCTCATCGGTTTGGTGGGTGGATTTTTGTTCCCCGACAAGTCCAACCGGTGGATTCAAGGCATATGGTTGCCATTGCTCACTGGTGACTGGGATGCAATTGGAGAGAAGAGTTGGGGATCGGCCGTGCTAGCGGGCGTATACCGGGAGCTGTGTACTTGCTCGAACGTTGGGGCAAAGCAAGCTGGTGCTGCGATGTTCATCCTACAACTGTGGGTATGGGAGCATCTTCCAATGTTCGCACCTCTCGACCCACGTCCATACCGGAGAAACGATGATGAGCTCAACTTTCTGCAAAATCTCCCCTACGGTGTCAAGTAAGTTTATTTCGTACTTAGCCCAATTTAAATTTTATTACATGCTTGAGCTAGATTTAAATTGAATTTATTCCGTACTTAGCCCAATTTAATTTTG